GCCGGGGCCGGGGCCGGGGCGGGGGCGGCGCGGGCTGCGCCGGACCCCTGGCCCTTGCAACCGCGCCGCTCCCGGCCTAGCCCTGCGGGGCTCAGTGGGCGCTGGCTGAGCCCGGGAGAGGGGGGTAGGAGGCTGTGGGTTGCGTTCCTGTTGCGAACCCTGCTCTCTCCCTGGAGCCGTGGAATTGGGGGTGGGCAGGGGCATCGGGAAGCGTCCTGGAGAGGTGTGAGCTGTCCGCAAAGGCAACTTCCTGGTCAGTTTGTGGGTGCAGGGGGGGTTGTTGCTGAGAATGTGTGATTCGTGCCGTTTGGGCCCTGTCCCCCCAGGGTGCTCGGTAATGGGGAGGGGCGCAGCGTCTAAGAAGCCCACCCTGGTATGTTGACTCGGTGCCAGCAAGACTGAGAGAGGAAAACTGGGTGGGCGGGGCCAGGATGGAGGAGGGGGACCGAGTTGGCAAAAGAGTCATGCCAGACGCCACATTTGCAACATATCCCCCCACACCCCTCCTTTCTCTGTCCCCAACTTTTCCAACCAGGAATCTGGGGAGAGGGGCCCATCTGAGGCTCAGAAAGGCAGGAGTGTACGGCCCAGAGAGGGGTATCTGCCCCTGCCAGTGAGCAGCATGGAAGTTTCCACACAAGGAGGTGGAAAGGAGCCCTCCACTCACACCCCACCTCATTGCCCTAAGCTGAGATGGTTTAGGGGTGCAGGATGAGTCTCCCCCTTCTTGGTACTTTGCTAAGGGATGGTCAGGCTAACGGTTGGGGGTGCAGGAGAGAGTAGGGTGGAGCCGGAGCTGGGAGGAGCCGGCTCAGACATAAAAGCTGAGGCACTGACCAGCCAGCAAACTGGACATTGGCTTCTCCTGTGGGAGAGACTTCCAGCTTCCTCCTCCTCTTCCTCCAGCCCCAGCGAACCTCCTGCCGAGCTGCAGGTAACCACGGCTGTCGAGCAAGGACCACACTACCATCCTGCTCTGGCCTGCCCTGCTGAGCTGGGGCCAACGCCTCCTAGGCCTGGGCTCCTGCAGCTCAGGCCTGCTGCCTCTCTCTCACACAGCCTTCTACCCCTTCTTGCTGCCACTCCTCTGCTTCCCACCTGATCTTCTGGCTTCCTCACCTGCTCTTTTCTCCTCTGTTCCTTCCCTTCTTCCTCCCTTCTTGTCCAGCTTCCAGCTTTTCCTAGGCCCTCACCTATCCAGTACCTTCACATGCCTCATGTCCAGCCTCCTGCTCTCTGCTGGTGCCCTGGGCTCAACCTCCAATCCCAGAGAGCTGGGGGTAGCGGACCTGCTTGGACAGGTTGTGGCAGCGTCAATAGCTGGTGGAGTTTGCTCTTAGAATTTGGAAGGGGGTGGCAAAGGGGGCAGTGGAAAGACTGGTTGGGGTCTTGTTGAGAAGATGATCAAGGCGCTTTCTAGATCCTTCTGTGGGGCTGGACCTCGCTCGTTGCAGTGCTGAATTGAGACTGCATTTCTTATCCCCTGCTCTGATGATTTACTGCATCAAAAGATCCCCTGGGCCTGCGGAGAAAAGGCTGGGTTGCCCTCCTGGACGGCTCTACCTTCGGCAGGAGCAGGGGCAGGGGCAGGGGCAGTTGGCTGTGCCAGCCTAGGCCTCCCACCTCTGAAGGAGTTTTAACCCTTGCTATGGCTGGCCCTGCAGCTACAAGGTGTGTGGAGGGGGTGTGTCTTTGGATGTGCCTCCCCTTCCAGATCAGGCCTGGTGTTTGGTCCTGCAGATAGCCTGGCCTGCTCTTCCCAGCTCTCATGGGTAGAGCACGGTACTCAAATGAGATGATCTGGTGGTCCAAGGGGACTTTGAGGTCCCTGGGCTTGGTTAGTGTAATGTGGGGCTAGAAAGAAGGCTTTTGGCTTTGTGTGTGTGTTTTGGGGTGCAGGATGGAGTTGTAGGACTGAGTGACTCAGGGAAACAAGGCTCTTATGGGTGTGGGTGGCATGCTTCTGCTAAACATTGGGGTCTTGACCTGAAGTTTGCTCCGCCACTGACTGGAAGGTTGGAAAAGCCATGGGGGAACGGGAAGAGTGTGGGTGGTCCAGCAGGACTGCCTGCTGTCTTGGGAGGGGGTGGTCCTCCTGGACCCATGTGCTCAGCCGGGGGTGGGTGGGGAGGGGGACAGGTCCTCTTGGATGCACATGCTCTATGGTGGGGCGGGGCTCTCTGCCCTCTTGGCTAGTGCACGGAGGCCTGAGGAGTGGTGACGGGCCTTGGTCTGTCCCCGCCCCCATGATGTCATAGGATGAAGGCCAGGTTTGGTGTCCAGCGCTGGCCCCTGCAACTGTGGGTGTGGCTGAGTGCTTGCAAGAATGACCATGAGGATGGTTGCTCCCCCCCATGTAAAAATCACCAACACTTCTTGCAAATCAAAGCCACCAGGCACTTTCTACACAGTCTCAGGCATTTTGTTTTGTTTTTGTTCTTAAGTGATCCTGTGCTCTTGCCTCAACTATCAAAGCATGTGTATTATTCGTGTAATTAAAACAAACACCTTAATAAGAAAATCATGCTTTCAGACTTCAGCAGATTTTAAATGAAGACATGGTGGGGCGCCTCTGGTGCGGGAGAGGCACTTTTGGACTGGGCTTGTCCGTGGGTCCCAGGTTGGGGGTCACTCTGGCATCCTGCTCACGGCCTCTGCTCTGCTTCCCAGATACCAATGGGGATCCCAATGGGGAAGTCGATGCTGGTGCTACTCACCTTCTTGGCCTTCGCCTCGTGCTGCATTGCTGCTTTCCGCCCCAGTGAGACCCTGTGCGGCGGGGAGCTGGTGGACACCCTCCAGTTTGTCTGTGGGGACCGCGGCTTTTACTTCAGTAAGTAGGGAAGGGGTTGGGGACAGACGTGTGGGGCTTCTGGGTGTTACCAAGGGCCAGGGCTCACCTGGGTGCAAGGGGACTGACTGGAGAGCTTGGGGGAGGAGAGCCCAATGGGCCCAAAGGACGCCCACCACCGTGGTAGATACAGACCACAGATGGCA